CCGAATCTGCGTCCGCCCAAACCGCGGATACGGAAACCGCCATTTCGGACCCCCTTATCCGCAAAGACTCATAAAATGGCGGATCGCCGCCGTTCCAATTTTATATTTTTCTGCTACAAATCCTAAGACTAACTGCTATCTCCCTTTTCTCATTTTGGACTCCTACACCCAGGAATAAATTGATTTTGTTTCGGGTATTTTATTTGACAGAAATCAGCTGTTTGTCAATTTGGCCGGGTTCTTCCAAGACAGCCCGTTTCTCCTCAGCGCTGCTCGCTCCTGCCTGGATCCAGCAAACAGGGACCCACTGTGGTCACCCATAGGGGACCCCGGGAGGGCAGCCAGGTGTGGGTCCCGGTCTCTGGCTGAGAGAGACATAGGTTTACAATGGACACTATCACCATTTCACTCAGCGATCATCCTTGGACTTTCCTTGCCTTCCCTGATTGACTTTCTGCTCCACGCTTCGGACTGTTTATTGCCATATCTTTGGACACAAACCTCCCGACAAGGTCTGCCTTGAAGTGCAGGCAGCCTCTGTTTCCGCGTACCTTCATCGAGGGACCATGAAATTCCCGTTTTGCTTAAATAATAAAGATCGAATATTTTAATAAACTTTGCTTGGGGTGGGGATGGGATTGCCTTATGAAATGTATGTAATGAAATATCATATAGAGTATACTATGTTTCCCCTTCCCGCCTTTCCCGCTGACCCTTGCCCCATAAAGATGTGACCTGGGGATTACTGTCTTGGGGAGAAGCTCCTTTGTTCTCCCGAAACCCTTCCTGATTGCTTCACTTGCATGGACAATACTGTTGTTTCCCCCAACCCTGGCCCTCGGAGCAGACCAGCGAGGGGAGGGGGTCAACAGAAACTCGGAAAGAAAAGACTGATTAAATCACCTAGGTATCGTTGATCCCCCCCGAGGTCCGATATCGAAAAAGCTATTCATATCTCCTTCAAATCCCATCACGGACCAGGAAACCCATTATTCCCTTATCTTTCACCCCGCCGGTGAGGACAAAAGCCTCACATTCCAGCTGGCGGATGCCCCTAAGCTCATCATTTCCTCGGCCATTGTCAAGCTTCGTCCCGCCTCCTAGCTGCCGATTGGTCCATCTTCAGAGGCGCTAGGAAGACACTGATTGGCCTCCCAGAGGCGGCGGAGCCCGCTGATTGGTCCAGGGGCGAGGCGTGCCGCCAAGCCTCCTCCCAGCTGTTCCGCGGCCAGCCAATCAGCACGAAGCCGGCCGGCAGAGGGCGGGCGGGAATTTTGAAACTGTTTTCCTTTGTCTGCACACTATAAAAATGTTTGGAAATTCTGTAAAATTATGCTTGTATGTGAATGATCACTACAATCGCATCCTTTTCAGCTGAATCGCAAAATAAACGCCTCGGTCACTGAACTTCTTCCGCCTCCGGTGAGATTAATTTTAAATATTTTTATATTCTTTGGATTGGCTTCCGCTGGCCTCACCAAGGTTCGAGGACCCTTTGAGCGGTCCTAAGGGATCTCTCCCGCTGGGAGACCCCCCAAAAGAGCTCGATATCAGATGGAGGTGAACTACAACTCCAAAACTCAAGGTCAGTGCTCACCAAACCCTTCCAGTATTTTCTGTTGGTCATGGGAGTTCTGTGTTTGGTTCAGTTCCATCGTTGGTGGAGTTCAGAATGCTCTTTGATTGTAGATGAACTATAAATCCCAGCAACCACAACTCCCAAGTGACAAAATAACCCCCCCCCCCACACCACAAGTGTTCAAATTTGGGCGTATTGGGTATTTGTGCTATATTTAGTCCAGTGAATGAAAATACATCCTGCATATCAGATATTTACACTATGATTCCTGACAGCTGCAAAATTACAGTTATGAAGTAGCAATGAAAACAATGTTAAGGTTGGGGGTCACCACAAGATGGGGAACTGGATAAAGGGTTCGTGGTGATAAGAAGGCTGAGAACCACTGCCCAAAGGGGAGATACTCCACAGACTCCTCCTACACTGATACTCAGAGCTCCAGCCCCACAGCACTGTAATAATTTTATTATTTATTATTATTTATTTATTATTTATTTATTTTATTATTTATCTACCCTGGCTTTCTCCACCCCGGAAGGGACGACTCAAGGTGGCTTACACTTAGGCAGTGATTTGATGCCTTCAGCATAGAATTATAAAATACATAAAACATTTAAAACATATAAACAATACTTTCACTGTTAACCACGTTATCCAAAGTCATAGTCTGGGCCATTCCAGACTAAGCATCGGGACTGTGGTGCCGCTGGCTGGGTGTCACCTGCATTAAGATCACTACTGACCAAAAAGTAATGAGTTCAAAGCCAGCCCGGGTCGGAGTGAGCTCCCGACCAAAATTGTGTAGCTTGTTGTCGACCTTTGCAACCCGAAAGACAGTTGCATCTGTCAAGTAGGAAAATTAGGTACCACTTTGTGGGGAGGCTAAATTAACTGATTTACAAGGCCATAAAAATCTCCAGGAAGTATGCAAAGAATGAGGAAGCGACAGCTCCCCTGGTGGCCAGAAGCTGGAAAGTTAATAGCCTCTGAGTGTCTGTCTATATATGTTGTGTGTCTTTGCAGTTCGATTTTGAGGTCTTGATAGCGGCTGAGTTTTTCCTGTTGTTTTTCCTCAATGCGACTGTCACCTGGAATGGTGACATCAATAATCCAGACTTTTTTCTTTTCCACAATCGTGATGTCTGGTGTATTGTGTTCCAAAACTTTGTCAGTCTGGATTCGAAAGTCCCACAGTATTTTTGCATGTTCATTTTCCATGACTTTGCAGGTTTATGATCCCACCAATTCTTTGCTGCTGGCAGGTGGTCCTTGTGACATAAGTTCCAGTGAATCATCTGGGCCACAGAGTTGTGCCTCTGTTTGTAGTCCGTCTGTGCGATTTTCTTGCACAGCTGAGGAGATGGTCCATAGTTTCATCCGCTTCCTTGCACAGTCTGCATTTTATTATTTATTTAATTATTTACATCATTTCTACCATTTGGGGTCATCCGATTATTTTTCGATCCTGGCCTTAATTGCATTGGTTCTGATGGTTTGCTATTATTGATGACGAAATATTGGAAAAATAGATATTTATTGATTGATTTATGTTTAAATCGTATGTATTTTACAACCCTGAAATGCATAGGATTTTCAAGTTCTCTCTCTCTGTAAGAAACCCTAGCTGAAAAGCAAGCTGCGTCCAGCATATTATCTAAACATTCCAGGAGAGAGAGATAAGCCCTAATAGGAGCCATGGACTGGTACTAAGAAGCACCTCTGACAGGTCCAAGTGGCCCCTTGATGGATGAATGTAAGCACAGCCAAGAGGGAGGGGGAATATTCCATGCTTGCTCCTCAGCAAGACACACAGACATGCCTTTTGCATGTTAGGAGGTAGAATTTGATGCCAATATGACGCAGTGAGTGATGATATGTATGTACTAGCATGTTCTTTGTTTGACTCCGATTGGAAGCTATAAAAGGCCAGTCCGCACCTTGATCGCTGCTGGTCTGATTTGAGATTACTCCACACCAGGCCCCAGCTGGATAAATAAACGTGCTTTAAAGTCTCCAGACCTCTCTCTGTGTCTCCTTTCATCAAACCGTTCCCTGCCACAACATTATTATTATTGTTGTTGTTGTTGTTGTTGTTGTTGTTGTTAGGCCCAGGGGCAGAAGGTGGGGGGCTGGGCTGGAGACTGTGGTGATAACTGAAATGGATATATAAAAGTGAAATCCAGTCAAAAGAATGGTATAGAGAGGTTTAGGAACATAGCGATCAGCGACAACAACTGACAACGGACCTAGACCAAACTTGGCATGCAGACCCACTGTGGGCAACTGTGCATACTGGCAATGGCCACTTTTGGGGTGCCTTTGGGCGTCACGCAGATCTCCTCCTGCCGTTTCCTTCTCTCCAGCATATGGACCACGCCTAGCATGTGGTTCACTTGTGTCACAGGAAGTCATTCCCCCTCTCCCTTTATCATAGGCACCATCACCCCCCCCCCGCCCCCCCAGATATTGACCCAATACAAATTTCTCAAGCCAGTTCTGGTACGCAGTTGTGAAAGACAGTAACTGATACTTTTATTTAGCAGGTCTGGTCCAAGGTAAGCATACAGCACATGGTCAAAACATGCGTATTCCAAGCCAAGGCTTAAAACCATCCCTCTGACAGGTAGATATTGACAGAGAGGCAGACAGGTGAAGAGGTGGACAGGGCAGCCTCCCCCTATCACTCATTGTCAGTCAGGGACCAGAAATAGTTGGGATGCAGAACCACTGTTACCAGCACCAATGTAAGCGTGAATCCTGTATTGATAGCACCAATCTGCATGAATACTGTACGGTGTGCTCAAATAATGGATAAGAGAGGCACGAAGGATCAAAAGAAGAAAAAGCAGCTCATGGCTGGAAAAACACCATTAAACACAACAAAAGAGCAGAATCTGCATCAAATACATGAGGAGTTCTGGGTACAAGCAAAAGCCACTGCATAGCAGACCATTCTCAAGTGTACGCATGTGCCTAACTACCTAACTACATGCTATCAATCTCTGTCTGTCTGTCTATACATCCTGTGGGAGAGTGATCTTGGCTCCCACCACTCCAGAGTGTTGCCTGGCAATGCATGAAGCAGTGGCAAGGTTGCCTCCTGCAGCTGCTTCCTTCGGGCCCATGGGGCCAGCATTTCACACACACACACACACACACACACACACACAAGTCCAACTTCACAATGGACAGAGTGAATGGGCCTTGCTCATGGAGCACCATTCCCCAATGCATCCCCCAAGGAAGCATGGCTGAGTGAATGCACCTGCAAAACATGTGTTAAGGCCCTGGGAGGGAAGCACAACATCCTTCTCTAACTAATAGCGCATTGGGTCCAAAGAGGCACACAGATAGGCCAGAGCGGGCCAAAGGCAGCAGCGGAAGAGGCCTTGAGGGGAGGGGTGGTGCTTGGAGGTCCTGATCACGGGTGCCTGAACTGCTTTGAGATGGCCCTAATCGCCTTGCTGGCGATCCCTGGCAAAATGAGGTTGAGGCCTGTCACCATCCCCTTCAGGACGTTTTTCAACCAGGAGGGATCCTTGATCTTGGCGCTCTCCTCCCTCAGGCGCTGGATCTCCTTCATCATCTGCTCAGCCTCCTTCCGGTACCCCTCGTTCAGCAGCGCCTCTTGCTCCTGCAGGAAGAGAGAGGTGGACCAATGAAGGGTGGGACTCCATTTCTGTCCAAAGGCCTGTTTCACAGAGTGAAGGGTCTCCCATAGTGGAAGAGAGGGGGGGGGGATAGGTGTCTCACTGGCCAGGTGAGTGGGAGGCTGCAAGGGGGTCCCCAACTGAGGTGTGCAAGGGACAGGGCCAAGGAGTCTGGTGAGGGAGGAGTCACTGGGACCCTAAGGAGGCTTACCGCCAGCTTGCTCTCCACCATCTTCTTCTGCTCCTCCAGGAGCTGCTTCCGATTCTGCTCTATCTTGGTCTTCAGCTGCTGGACGTTCTCTTCGTAGCTCCGCTGCTGGTCCTGCACCTTCTGCTCCAGCTCAGCCTGCCTCTGCCGCTGGACCTCCTGCTCCCTCTTGGTTGCCTCTGCCTGCGCCTGGGCCTCTGTCCAATGAATGGGGGGAAGGGAGGAATGGAAAGGGGGGTGAACCTCTCAGACCCCCACCCCTCACAAAATGGTTACTTGACACAGCTCTGGACTTCTGAAGGGGGAGCCCCATGACCAATTCCTCTTTCTGGGCATGGAGTGGGGCTCACCTTCCATTTGCTTCTCCTTCTCGCTGGGGGCTGTGTCGCTTTGGAGAATGGCTCTGCCGATGGCCTCCTTGTCCTCCAGGAACTGCTTCAGGGTTGCCTCTGCCTGGATGGAGGAAGCATTGCTCAGGAGGGCGCCAAGAAGGGCCAAAGGATCTGCCCCCTCTCCTGGCACCAGTGAGGGGATTCTGGGGCTACCAACACAAAGACACTTCCCTCGGCTTCGAAATTTGGAGGGCTGTCCACATACTTTGGGAATCTGCAACATCAGTGCTCATTCTGGCCTTAAAACATGGACATGACCCTCTACTGAGACCCACACATTGACATTGGTGTTTGTGTTAGAGGTTCTAAGAAATCTTTGGTTTGGGATGAGCTTTCTTTGCATATTCACTTGTTTTTATGCCTGCGTACATAACTTTACTGATCTGGCCAAGAATCACCAGAGTATTGTCAAAGGCTTTCATGGCCAGAATCTCTGGGTTGACCTCACAACCTCTGAGGATGCCTGCCATAGATGCAGGTGAAACATCAGGAGAGAATGCTTCTAGAACATGGCCATACAGCCCAAAAAACTTGCAACAACCCAATTACTAGAGTGGCCCTGCATGACTTCCTCCCATGGCCCAGCCTTCCCCCCTTCCTTCCTCCTTTTCTTTCTTACCATCACCCCCTTCTTTGGCTTCTGGCGGTATCTTCCCTCAACGTCCTTCAGGTCGGCCACAAACTGCCTGTGTCCGTTGGGCTGGAAGTAGACCCCGCTGCGCACCTTCTCCTCCAGCTCCACGCAGAGAGTGGCCAACAGAGCCTGGCAGCGTTTAATGGACTCTTGCTCATTCCTTCGGCAGTATTCCTCCTTCCGGTCATCCAGGGTTTTCTGGCAGGAAAGGAGATACAGAGAAAGGACACGGCTGATAACTCTCAGGGACATGCCTCTTTCCTAAGTCTCTGGCTGCATGGAAATCCGCACCCAGTCTTCTTACTGTTCTCCAGAGAGGAGAGCATGCAAGATGTCTCCACACAGTTCGAGACAGAGAGCAAGACCCTGAACTTTCCCATATTCAATTCTGCCACATAAGACGGACCTTTGTAACTTTGAAAGCCTGCCATTGCTTCTTGAATTGCTAGAGCTCATTTGCTCTGCTGCTGCTGTGTTTGGAAGCTTCTGCTCTGCTAAACTGCTACATTTTGCTGATGCTTTATTTTACTGCTTTTTCCTTTTTTTAAAAACTAGACACCTGTGTACCCGGGAGTGCTTCTGTGACCCTTCTGTGCTGGGACTCCTTTCCTTCCCCATGAGACATCCCCCCCCACCCCGCTATCGGTGCTTACCAATGGCCTCATCTCGTAGGGTAACCTACCATGAGTTTAGCCTGGAAGTGGCTCTTATCATCCTTGAAAGCACGTGCCATGAACACCTGGAGGGCCTCCTTCTCACATTCAGCATGGACCCCCAGCAGCTCTGGAACGCTCTCCGTGGGCAGGCTCAGCCTCTCCTCCATCAGTTTCCCATAGTGAGCCACAGCCTCCTCCATGGCAGCCGTGTTCTCCATCTCTGCCAAGACCAGCACCGCACTCTCCAAGCAGGGCACCTTACCACTGCAGATGGTCTCCACGTACGTCTCCGCCAACTTGGCCAGCACTGTAAGGAGGAAGATGGCAAGGCAAGCGTCAGATGATGATGCCAAGTACTATGTGGAAGCAGGGGTCTGTCCTAGTAGCCGGAGGGAGGAGGCATGGGTCCCACCTCGTTTGGCCTTTGGCCTCACAAATTGCCAGTGGGACCCGGTGCCCAGAGGCAGAGGAGGATAGTCTCCCCAGATGAAGAAGGGAAAGGCCAGAGATTGACCAGCATCACAGTGCAACTGTGGCATCAGCTCAGAGGAAGGAGGGTGGGAGGGCAGGACGGACTCACGGTGCCCAGTGAACACATGCCCCCCAGGAGGGTCTTCTCCTTGGATGTCCCATAGATGTAGTTGCAGAAATGGTCGGCCTGCTCCACAAAGTCGGGCTCTAAAGGCAGCCCAGCTTTAAAGATTCCTTTTAAGAACCAGGACCTGGTTTTCCTCTCTCAAGCACAGCACAGAGAAGGCCTCTTCAAAATGCAACCGAGGCAAAGGGCCAGGACTGGGGCGGCTTGAAGGGCTTGAGCACGAGTCCCAACTCCCCCTCCCCCGGCCACTCCTAGAGCCTGGCTTACTGGCTCCCGTCACGGGTTGGCCCCCGGGGACCATCTTGCACTTGGAGGTCTCCCAGATGTGTTTGCAGAAACGGGCCACTGCTTCCCGGAACCTCTCTTCCAAATCTTCCTCCTGCAGCTCCTCCAGCCGCTGCAAGTTATTCATGGTAGTTGGCCAGACAAAAGTGAAGCACTTCCGGGAAGGAAAGAACTTGCGGATGCACAACCGGGGCTCGTTGCACCTTCTGATCTGCTCTGTGTCACCTGCAGAGGAAGGACAGGCAGTATTGATA